CTCTGACTGAGTGGCTGGGAAACATTCCCGTCTGTGGCTGATGTTTTGCCCAGGCAGAGGGAGTGATGCCTAGATCTCAGAAAGGAGTGTTCCCAGCGCATGGAAATACCTGCAATTTCCAGCTTAAACTCAGTGTGAGCCGAGAGCCAGTTCTTTCCCCTCCACAATGAGCTGTGTTTACAACAGCAGGCAGGAGAGCAGGTGGCTCTAGCAAGAGAGGGCCTTTCAGAGCATATCCTAACTTTGCTGAGGCTAGTCCCTGAGCCCTGATTTTGGAGTCCTCCTATGATTCAGTTCTGGCCTCCTGTTCTGCTCTGTAGCAGCAATTTTCAGTGTGAGCCGAGAGCCAGTTCTTTCCCCTCCACAATGAGCTGTGTTTACAACAGCAGGCAGGAGAGCAGGTGGCTCTAGCAAGAGAGGGCCTTTCAGAGCATATCCTAACTTTGCTGAGGCTAGTCCCTGAGCCCTGATTTTGGAGTCCTCCTATGATTCAGTTCTGGCCTCCTGTTCTGCTCTGTAGCAGCAATTTTAATCACTGATATCAGGGGAAAAAAATCCAGTGGTTTAATATGGAGATGGGCGTGGGAAGTTTTGATGTTTGGGTAAGTTGCTGCTATGACGCCCCTGTAACCGTGTTTTTTATCTTATTTTCTCAGATAAGGTGGCTTGTGTCGTGCCTGAAGAATGTGAGAAACTCTGTGGCACCAAAGTTGGCTGTTCAAATGTTGCCTATCCCAGCATGGTAGTGGACCTTATGCCTAACGGTAAGACACTGGCTGTGATAGGAGTTTTTGAGGCAAAGCCATGGAGCACAGATGAATGGACGCTGAGTGTTGTGAGGGAAAGATTTGTCAGAGCCAGGTACTAGAACTAGGGAACCTGCATTTTCATTTAGTCAGTTTGACACCACAAGCGTTTTCTTATAAGGGCTCATTTGCAATAGGCTCTAGATCAGGGTTGACAAAGATCTGGCCTGCCAAGACCACAGCTGCCCTGTCGCTCCCCCACACCCAGACCAATCAGCTAGCTTTTATCTCTAGCTGCCTTGTGCCTTTGGTCGGGGGCAGGAGGGGCCCATGAAGTCTCTCACGTCCTTTCCCTGCCCTGCCAGGGTGCGCAGTTATAAGGGCTCATTTGCAATAGGCTCTAGATCAGGGTTGACAAAGATCTGGCCTGCCAAGACCACAGCTGCCCTGTCGCTCCCCCACACCCAGACCAATCAGCTAGCTTTTATCTCTAGCTGCCTTGTGCCTTTGGTCGGGGGCAGGAGGGGCCCATGAAGTCTCTCACGTCCTTTCCCTGCCCTGCCAGGGTGCGCAGGCACTGCTGGCTGATTTAAAACAGCCAGCATGTCTCTTTAGCTGCTGCACACTCTTGCAGGGCGAGGAGACTTTGCGCGCTTCCCCATCCCCAGGCCCTGATTGGCCTTGGTGCAGGCAGAGTGCGTGAGGTCTCGTCTCACTAGGCACCTAAACCGCCTGTTTTAAAGCAGCTGGCGTTTCTCTCTAGGGGACTGAGTGGGGGCGGGGGAAGAACTTCTCATGTCCCCCCACCCCAGGTCAAGCAGGAGTGGCAGGGGAAACACAATAAGTCTCCTGGCTCTGCCCCTTCCGCCCAAGGCCCCACCCCTTCTGGGGTCATTCTAATATCGATATACTGTATATTCCTATACATGCAGGGCATTATGACCTGTACGACCATAGATGCCAGACGGTCTAGCCATGACAGTCTTCTCCCTGGCCTCTGAGGACAGGACAAGAGGCAATGGGCTTAAACTGCAGCAAGGGAGGCTTAGGCTGGACATTAGGAAAAACGTCCTACCTGTCAGGGTGGAATAAATTGCCCAGGGGGGTTGTGGAATCTCCACCTCTGGAGATATTTAAGAGCAGGTTCGACAGACACCCGTCGGGGATGGTCTCGATGAGGAGTGGGCAATCATTTTTAAAAGGGGGGGGGGCACTTCATAAATTTCTGAAGTGGCCCCAAGCCATCCCGGGGCATCCCCTTGGGTAGCAGGGACAGGGCCTGAAGACTTCTCATGCTCCCCCGCCAACAGATCCTGATTGACCTGGCATTGGGGAAATGCATGAATAGCCTTGCCCTCTGCCCCCCGTGTCTAGAGAGAATCGCCTGCTGATGTTATGTATGAGGAGCTCTGACATGAGCAAATCCACACAGGCATTGTCGATCTCCTCAGAGCCCAGCCTGGGTACTATATGTATTGTAAACACTGTGCTTCCTGACATAGCAGGCACCATCCTGCTACTGCCCCAGCAGGGTGCTATGATGTTGTTATGCCCTGGGCCGGGGAGGGCAGACCGTGCACTCAGAGATGTCGCTCACGCAGCTTCCTTAGTGCCTGGCCCAGCCCAGTTGAGCTGGTGTGTTTCTGTGTTTCAGGATTGCGGGGTCTGATGCTGTCAGTCATGCTGGCCTCTCTCATGAGCTCCCTGACTTCCATTTTCAATAGTGCTAGCACACTGTTCACCATGGACATCTACACCAGAATACGCACCCGGGCCTCGGAGAAAGAGCTCATGCTGGCTGGGAGGTAAGTGGGACTGCGCATTTCCCACCATTAGCAACCAACTACATCTGGGAGCCAGCACAAGTGTTCCTTTCGGAGTTCACCTTAATGACTTGAGGAATAGCCTTTCCCTGACTGCACGTGGTACAGCACTGACCTCTTGTGGCCCGACAGCTTCATCCCATGTGTGCCCTGAATATTCCATGGGTTAATTTCCAAGCCATGTTGTTTATTTGAAGATGAATCTGAGGTGTCTATTCCTGACAGATATCCCAGGAGATCTATTTAAATGTCATTTTTTATCACCTGAAGAAGTGGGCTGTGCCCAAGAAAGCTCATGATACTATTTATATATTTTTGCTAGTCTCTAAGGTGCTACAGGACCGTTGTTGTATTTTAAGTTTTTTTTTATTCCACGATTCTGGCTAGACAAAGCTACAGCATCAGTAATATTCACTAGTCATGCTGCTGATTTCTCTTTTCTTCTTCTCTCTTTGCTGTTGTATTGATCGCTGTATTTATAGCTGACTTATTATCATAGGTGATTGATTGTTGTGAGAGCAGAGTTCTCACATTGGGCTGACTGAGAGCTGATGGATCTGGTGAGCTTTCCCCCAGTGCTGAAGGCTGGTCACTGTTATTTTGGCTGATGTTTTATTGCTGGTTGAATAGCACAATGAGTTGTTAAATAGCTGAGAGACTGTGATTTCTGTGTTTCTGATTAATGTTTAAAAACAGGTGGCTAACAGATTATTTACTGGTTTTATTTACAGGTTATTTATCTTAGTTTTAATTGGTGTCAGCATCGCATGGGTTCCTGTGGTGCAGTCAGCTCAGAGTGGGCAGCTCTTTGACTATATACAGTCTATCACCAGCTACCTGGGCCCACCCATTGCTGCTACCTTCCTGCTTGCCATCTTCTGTAAGCGGGTCAATGAGGAGGTGAGTACAGGCTAGAAGCAAAATCTCACAAAAGACACTTGTCTGTGCGCTGAGACAACAGCCCTTTCTTCGTCTCAATCCATTTTATTCTCAATGTCATTGAGACTGTTCCCACCAGAGCCCCGTGCCTGAAGTTCCAAAGTGTGGTGCTTGAGGGGCCCTTGGCTAAGTTGAGGATCCCTCATGCCCCCCCGTCCATTACTTATTTGTAAATACGCATGGACTTTGTTGGACTTTATTGGCTCCTACACAGCTGTGTGGCTGGGGCCACCTATTGTTTCACTGCGACTTTCTCTGCAGGGATAATTTCTGGGAAACAGTGTTTTAATGCAATCTTCTGGGTTCTCCATGTTCTGTAAGCTTCAAACAAGCACAGGGAAAGTCATATTGTGAAGTACTGGCATTCGTGTGATCTGGGTTCTTTTGCCACAGACTCCGGGCTCGTCTACACTGGTCCTTTTTCCGGAAGGGGCATGTAAATTTCACCTATCGTAGTAGGGAAATCCGCGGGGGATTTATATATCCCCCGCGGCATTTAAATAAAAATGTCCGCCGCTTTTTTCCGGCTTTTAAAAAAGCCGGAAAAGAGCGTCTAGACTGGCCCCGATCCTCCGGAAAAAGTGCCCTTTTCCGGAGGGTCTTATTCCACTTCAAAGTAGGAATAAGACCCTCCAGAAAAGGGCACTTTTTCCGGAGGATCGGGGCCAGTCTAGACACTCTTTTCCGGCTTTTTTAAAAGCCGGAAAAAAGCGGCGGACATTTTTATTTAAATGCCGCGGGGGATATTTAAATCCCCCGCGGATTTCCCTACTACGATAGGTGAAATTTACATGCCCCTTCCGGAAAAGGGGCCAGTGTAGACGTAGCCTCCTTGTGAGAACTTATGCAGGTTACTGACCACTTGAATTTCAGAGGTGCTGAAGTGATAGATATTTCACAAGCACGGATGTTCTATTTCCTTTTTATTTAAATGCCGCGGGGGATATTTAAATCCCCCGCGGATTTCCCTACTACGATAGGTGAAATTTACATGCCCCTTCCGGAAAAGGGGCCAGTGTAGACGTAGCCTCCTTGTGAGAACTTATGCAGGTTACTGACCACTTGAATTTCAGAGGTGCTGAAGTGATAGATATTTCACAAGCACGGATGTTCTATTTCCAGTCACAGTATGACTGAATCTCATGTAATGGAGCCTGTGGTCCTGAGTGAAAATGAATGAAGAACTAGTAAGGTTCTCAGCCGTTGGTACAAGTCACCCTTCTAATTAGAATCAATAATGGGATGAAGTACTTCCTGAAACCAAGTCCCATTTTTATTAGTATTTTCCAGATTAAACTTTACAGAAAGTTTCTTATTTCTACAGTAAACTGAGCATCTGATTCCAATACACTTCTGTTATTTTCTGGCAGTTTAATAATTGTTACAAAATAAAATTTGTTCAAACTAGATAATGTCCAGCAGGATTTTTTAATTCTGTACCATTAGTTCTCTCCTTTTCAGCTTATGGGCTAAATTCTACTTTCCGTGGGTGCAACTTGCCTGAAATCAAGAGGGCTGCATCTGCTAACTCCAGGAGTGACTTTGGCTCTGTATGGGTACGTCTACACAGCAGCATTATTTCGAAATAACTAGTATTATTTCGAAATAACTTAGTCCGTGTCTACACAGCAGGTAGTTATTTTAAAATAAAGTTGAAATACCGTCAAGCTGGAGGACTTCTTACTCTGACTCCTGTAACCCTCATTGTACAAGGGGTAAGGGAAGTCGGAAGATGAGTGCTCATTTCGAAATACGTCCTGTGTAGATGCTCCCAATTTCAAAATAAGCTACGCAATTGACGTAGCTCAATTTGCATAGCTTAATTCAGTTAAGCCCTGCTGTGTAGATGCACCCTATGTCTGTTCGTTGTGTTTGTATTTAGGAGATGTAGACTTGAGAGAGTCAGATAGAGCAAACACATGGATTGCCAAGGGCAAATCTCTGAAGCTGGTTCATTGAATAGTATCTAAGGGTATGTCTACACTACAGCGCTAATTCGAACTAACTGAGGGTATGTCTACACTACCCTCCTAATTCGAAATAGGAGGGTAATGTAGTCATACCGCAATTGCAAATGAAGCCCGGGATTTGAATTTCCCGGGCTTCATTTGCATAAAGCCGGCCGGCGCCATTTTTAAATGCCGGCAGTTCGAACCCCGTGCCACGCGGCTACACGCGGCACGGATTAGCTAGTTCGGATTAGGCTTCCTAATCCGAACTAGCTGTACTCCTCATTCCACGAGGAGTACAGCTAGTTCGGATTAGGAAGCCTAATCCGAACTAGCTACTCCGTGCCGCGGGGAGCCGTGCGGCACGGGATTCGAACTGCCGGCATTTAAAAATGGCGCCGGCCGGCTTTATGCAAATGAAGCCCGGGAAATTCAAATCCCGGGCTTCATTTGCAATTGCGGTATGACTACATTACCCTCCTATTTTGAGGTGGTCACATCAGCATGGTCAACCAGCTGAACCCTACTCACCGCGCACCACAACGTGATGGTGAGCTGTGCTGTGGGCATAGACGATTGTAACGATGCAAATCAATTTTTTTTAAAGCCAGAAATCTTTGTGATCATCTAGTCTGACCCTCCTGCATTGTCACACATCAAAGAATCTCATGCAAAGCTGGGACAAGGCATTTCTAGCCGTTTTTATTGGGATGTGTCCCAAATCTATGCTTCCGTGTCAGGATTTCAGAGCCAGACGTTGAATGCAAACTTCATGTAACTCTTGAGAGAATTTCTTTTCAGAACAAATACTGCTGCTCTTAAAACAAACAAAGAACCCTTGCCAGCAATCCAGCACTCATGAACAAACCTTCAATAACACAGCCTGTCCATGGTCGAAAACCTGAAGTACCCGGTAACCCTGCGTATGGGCAATGATAAACAGAAAGTCTTGGGGGCCACACATAGTATCCCAATGGGCCATATGCAGCCTTCAGATTGCAGATTACCTTCCCCCTCTCACACCTGCATTGTTCTAAGGTGCAGTGATATAAGGAGAAGAATTATTTTTGAACCAGGAAAAGCATGTTGACCTATTCCAAGGCTCTTGGAGATTCTCTTGGTTTTCTAGCCCAGTACATGATGTTTGCTTACACTAGGAGCTCATTTTAATAACTGGCTTGTGTCTGACTAATAAGATGGCTCCTGTTTTGTGTGTTCTTAACACGTTGGTGCTACAGGTTATTCATGAATCCATTGGCAGTCATGCCCCCACTGCAGGGATGATAGGAGATTAAAGGAGGCAATATATTTTACATACCTGCAACAACTTTGTGATAAATGCGCCTGTCACTTTTTTTTCAGGGTGCCTTCTGGGGCTTGGTCATTGGGCTGTTAATTGGGCTGTCTCGAATGATTGCAGAGTTTGCCTATGGAACTGGCAGCTGTGTAAGCCCCAGCAACTGTCCAAAGATCATTTGTGGAGTTCACTACCTGTACTTCGCTATAATCCTCTTTGGGATCTCCTCCATCATCATCCTGGGTGTGTCATTGGTAACTAAGCCCATTCCCGACATACATGTGAGTATCGTTGCCTAATATAGATTAGTATCATCTACCGTGCAATTTACATTATGCAAATTTTATAGAATTTTCCCAGTTAACTGCATGAAAAGCATCTTCCTCAAATTATTTCTTGATCCAGATGTCTGAAAGTGGAGCACCTTCTGCCAGGAAAACGAATGAGCTGTAGAATATTTTACAGTCAGTAACACCTGAACGACATTATCTGCAAGAGAACCTCAGGCCAGAGCAGTAATACTGTAATGAGCAGTAAACCATACACCTCAGGCCAGATCTGCACTAGTCAATTTACCATTAAGCAAAAGCGTATTGGTTAATTCTATAGACTACACACATTTTCAACTGCATCACTTGCCAGTAAAATTTTTAGCAGGCTGGCCAGCAGCCCAGCTCAGTTCCGGCTTTTCCTGGGTCCTGGACTTACCCCTGGTGCAGCTCTGCATTTAAAGTTTATTAGGAGCCAGGTGAGCAGGCAGCCCGGATCAGTTCTTGCCCATATGGGGTCTGGGAGCTCAGACCCCTCCCGCTCACAGATGGGGGCTGCCCAGGGACTATAGAATAGTCGACTAACTGATAAGAATTCATGAGATTAATCAACTATTCAATTAACATCCCTAGTCTACACTTATCCCAAGAACAACACTCGAGAGATCAATCTTCCAGGGTTCAATTTAGTGGGATCCACTAAATTGACCACTGATGGCACCCCAAATGATGCTATTACTCTATGGAGTTGTGAGGATTAAGGGAAACTCAATGGGAGAGTTTCTCCCATTGACTTCCTGCAATGAGGATTATGCAGAAATTCAATGTAAGGAATGTAATCTCCAGTTACACTATTCTCATAGTTGGAGTTGCATGTCTTAGGTCAGCTTTCTCCGGTAGCATAGACAACTCTGAATTGGAACTGGAAGAATGCAGTAAGGCAGCTGAAAAGACAAAAACAAAACAAACAAACAAAAAAGGGTGTGTAGGAGCAAATAGTACTGTTTTCTACGTAAACTACTGAAAAAAAGTCAAAAAAATTTGACAAGATAAGGAAACTCTCTTTGCTTGTTTCATTTAAATTAAGATGGTGAAAAGCAGCATTTTTGTTCTGTAAAGTTCAAAGCTATGTTAAATTCAAGTTTATTTATACACTCTTTAAAGAGCAAATATAATGTTTTGTTCAGAGTTGCAAACATGTCAGAGTTTTGAATAATCTCCACTCCTGCGAAGTTCATAACTTTTAAATTCTACTGTAGTGCAAAAATACACGATAAGAAGGGAACTTGGTTTTTAAGAAAGACACAATATAGCTGGTACATTTAGGGTATGTCTACATAGCAGCATTATTTCAAAATAACAAACGTTATTCTGAAATAACATAGTTTGCATCTATACACAACCAGTTATTTCGACATGACGTGGAAATATTGTTGAGCTGGAGAACTGTTTACTCTGACTTCTGTAATCCTCATTGCATGCGGAGTAAGGGAAGTCAGAGGAAGAGTGCTCTATTTTGAAATAAATGCTGTATAGACATCCCCAAATTCAAAACAAGCTATTTCGACCTAAGCTATGCAATTAACATAGCTCAAGTTACATATCTTATTTTGAGTTAAGACCTGCTGCGTGGATGTGCCCTGTGGGTGCGTCTACACTGCACCTGTAGTTCAAAATAAGCTATGCAATTTGAGCTACGCAAATCAAATCTGAAATTCGGTGCTATCTACACAGCACTTATTTAGAAATAAATTGCTATTATGAAACATGCCTTACTCCTCACAGACATCAGAATAATGAGCCTGAAATAACGGGCTTACTATTAAGATACAAAATAGCTATTTCAGGATAATCCAGTATCCCCAAATAGCGTTGCAGTGTAGACTAGCTTGTGTGCTGTAATAAAGTCTTAAGGCTTGAAGATGGTAAGAAAGGGAAACTGGAATAATAACCTTCAATATCTGTTCCCAGTCTTATGAAGACCCTAGTAATCACTAAATAATATTTAGCAAACATTTCATGGGACTGTAAATCCAAAACCAGTCTCAATGTGCCAATGCCAGCACTCTAACGCTCAGACCCTTGTAAATTTATTTTGTTTCATGGCAGCTTTACCGCTTGTGCTGGACCCTGCGGAACAGCAAGGAGGAACGTATTGACCTGGATGCAGATGAGAAGATTGAAGAACCTGAGAGCAATGATGCTATAGCAGGTGATTTCTGAATAACAGTCCAACTTCATTCCTGAAGAAAAAGTGAAAGTGCCCTGTAGTCTCATGAAAACTCATATACTAACGGGCTAGTAGGCACAGAGTTCATGTACCACTGTCCATTAACTAAGTCTGGTGTAAAGATTCTGAGTGAAAATAATTTTAGGATGACAGTCTAGTTCTAATTGATTTTTTGGGCATAGCACAAAAGCCTGCATGTAACTAGGTGAGAAGTCCAGGGCTAGAACAAAATATAGCTGAGGAAAGATGTGGTTTCAAGAGCTGTGTAGGTCTTACACTTTAAAAGACAGCACGAGGATGCATTTTAATGATGTGAGTGTGTAGGGGTCATGGTTGGCACATTGAAGGTCGTAGTGCAGAGCAAGATGAAGAGGCCTGGCAGAACTGTATTGATAAACTGCACAAAATTCTGCCTGGCTCCAGGCTCTGACACAAAGCTCACTCCCATAAAGGTTGAATAAGCAGAGTTAAACCCTGCACAAATCAGTGACCTGCCTCTCAATTTCTAGCTGGCGAGTATATTCTCTAAGGCAGTAGTTCCCAAACTTTTCGGCATCATGCCCCCTTTTTGATTTTCGAAACCCCCCCACACTCCTCCCACACCCCAAAAATAGCAGCAAAACTTGTTGAGGAACTAACTGGGGACGAAAAACAAAAATAGCAATAGGCGGGGTCATGCATTTTGCGCAAGAGGGCTTTTGCCCGAACGGGAGCAGCATAGCATTTTCTCAAGATCACTGGCAATCTTACATGAGATCGTCAGTGTTCTTTCGGAAATTCAAGCGGCCAGTGTAGACAGCTGGCAAGTTTTTCCGCAAAAGCAGCTGCTTTTGCAGAAAAACTTGCCAGTCTAGACGCAGCCCTAGTGTTTTCAGCTATCTCACTGCTAACTGAGAACAAGCAATTAGTGAATTGGAGGGTTTAGGGGTTTGTAAGGTTCAAATTAATTATAGAGCTTTCTAGATATCATAAGCCACTCACTTTGCACATCTGCTAAGGAATCATAATGTTCATCTAATCCTACAAACTCCATCTTTCCGTAAACATTTGTCATCATTAAGACCACACATTAGGAGCTGTTATTTCAATTACAAGAGGCTCTACTGCTCTGTATCACTGAGAGCTTGTTTTAACGCCAATCTTATAGAGCAGCAGGTACCCCGTTACTTGACCACTGTGCTATTTTTTCTATCACAGAAGAAGCTGATGAAGAACAAGGATGCTGCAAGAAGGCCTACAACTGGTTCTGTGGCTTAGATCAGAAAAAAGGTCCCAAACTCAGCAAAGAGGAGCAGGAAGCAATACAGAAGAAACTGACTGACACGTCCGAGACACCACTCTGGAGAAATGTTGTGAACATCAATGGAATCATTCTACTGACCGTGGCAGTATTCTGTCATGCCTTTTTTGCATAAACCTCAACTCGTATGCCAGTTTTCATGAAGGTCTAACTAGTCCCTTTTCCCTTTTGAAATTGCACTGTATTCTTCAAAAGATATTACGCTTTCTAAATTTCACTGATAGATATACTTATGAGACTTGTTCAACGAGATTATATACATAAGTTGATTTATTCATTGGTTTTGTGGTGGTAATTAAACATCTGAATTCTGATGTTCCAAAGGGCAGAATTTGAATCCAGGATACTCGGGAGAATTTAGTCAATCTCTCCTATGAAATACATTTCATAGCTCAATTTCAGAACATGAGAAGCAGGGCTGATTGACCTGCATGTATCCACTTCATGGTTTTATGAACTATTTTGGGGGATGGTGAAAATGTGCCCTTTTCCCACGGTGATTTTTTTTTTTAAGTTCAGCTATCTGAATACCACGCTATGGATTTAGGATAATTGAATCCCCTGAAAATAAAGGTTGCCTGAAGAGTTTCCTATTGATGACATTTTATTGGTGTGTTCCTTTCATACTTCATCTATTTTAATATCCCTTTTCTCTCTTCACTCTCTGTTCCATGCATTACACTTTTTAGTGGATTTTTCCTCTCTTCTTTTGCCACTCTCACATGAGGGGAATATGAACCCACATACCACCTGATTTTAACTTTTGGGTACTATTTGAATGGGTTTGATATTAGACCAACTATATCTGACAAACCCTCATAAGAGTTGTGTTTATGCCTGACTCTTCAAGATTAGCTTTTAAATATATTCTTGGTGGCTTTGATTACCTACCATGAGTTGTCAGAATTAGACTCTTTTTACATGTACTCTGAGACTCTATTTTTAAGGATGGCACAAGTGTTCTTTTAGTTTCTCTTCTTACTGGATTTACCACATGGTAATCCTTCCTCAGGGATGAATGTTCTTAGCACCAGAGCCCTGGCCTTGTGTCTTGCTTCCAAGTACACAAAAACTATACAGTATTTTTCCTGAAAAACTGAATTAATCTTCCCTAACAGTTTTGTTAAGAAGTTTCACTCATGCCACAAGTAAGACTGTTACATTATAGTTTCCCCCAAAGAAAACTGACATCGTCTCAAACCATTATAAGTATCTTCATCTTGTCTGGGAGAGTGAAACCAGGTTGAGACAATCATGAGACAATGATCACGGTTTGAGTCTCAAAAACTAGCGAGAAGCTAAGGAGACAGCATGTGATGTACTTCAATTCCAGGCTGAAAAGTGAAACGGAAAATTCTTACAGTCTAATTCATCTTCCCAAAGAGGCACAGATCTAGAGAAGGCACATGGGAAATTCCAAATAACACCTAGTCTGTATTACAATCCTTTTTGTATTGTGTATCACAGCTTCCTGCAGTATCTCAGTTCCATGTAATATGCATCTTGTCTTCCTGCAGTATTCTACAGCACACTGCACTGTGCTGCAATCATATAAGGCGCTTTCTGTAGCATGTTGCTCTGTTGTAGATCTCTATTACTTTCATGACACTGTCTTCATGTTATCTCAGATGGGGCCATAGCAAAACGTGCTGTCTTCTTTGTGCATGTCGCTGCACTAGGATCGTCAATATAATATTCCATCTCCCTGCAATATCCTGACATGGGCTGCATCATGCCAAGTCCAATCAATACAATCTAAATCTTAATGCAAACAGTCTTACAATAAGTAGAGCAGGAGGAAGCATCTTACCAGTCATCACTGTACTGTGTTAAGGAATTTATTATATTTCATTAACTTTGTATTTATTAAATGTTTCTAATGTGTTTGGGGGCCAGAAAGTCAAGAGTTCTTTGTATAATACAATAGAAAATGTAAAATATAATTTAAAAATTTTTTTTAGATCAAATACTAAAATAAAATGTATTCAGTCCGCATCAATTGCACATCTGGGAACAGCTGTACTACACTTGACTCTGTCTCCTGTGGTTTTTTTTTTTTTTTTTTGGAAACAGCGTCACATTATTGACTCATACTGAGGTTGTTACTATAAAGCTGGCTACTATGGTGAATGATAATGTGGTATTTGACTGGGAGTTTGAGAACAAAAAGCATGTGGCCCTCAGAAACTATCATATATGGGCATTGGAGACCAAAGTGGCTGTTCTGGAGGAACTAATGGACTAATGGAGACAGAGAGGTACATGGATGAGACTTTCCAGGACATTGTAGAATGGTGCCAACCCTAGTATGACAGCTTCTGTGCTGCTGAGGAGGATGAAAGTCTCAGTGAAGGAGAACTCGCAACTGGAGCTGGGGTATCGTCTCACATGGAGGATGTCTCTGGGGTAGGGAACTCCAGTTATTAGAAAGAGACCGATAGCAGTTATGGGGTATTTGATAATTGGGAACATATCTAGCTGGGTTTGCAATGACTACGAGAACTGCAGGGTGGCCTGCCTTCCTGGTGTGAAGGGTGTTGATAGTCAGATATTTTATGTGCTGGGGTGGAGCCAGTGTTCATGGACATGTAGGTACCAATGACTTAGAGAACGGTAAGAAATATATTCTAGAGGTCAAATGTAGTCTGCTAGGTCAGAGATTGAAGTCCAGCACTTCTGTGGTAACATTCTCAGAGATACTCCCAGCTCCGTACATCGGGCCAGTTAGAGAGAACTGCAAGGACTTGAATGTGTGAATGAGATGACAATGTAGAGAGGAGGGGTTTAGATTTATTAGGGACTGGGGGAAATTTTGGGAAAGGGGGAGCCTATACAGGAAGGATGGGCTCCACCTAAACGAAAATAAAACCAGATTTCTGGCATTTAAAATTGAAAAAGTCAGAGGGCAGTTTTTAGAGGTGGGGGAAAGCTGACAGGTGTGGAGGAGCTCATGGTTCAGACAGAGACAACCCTAAGGAGGATCTATTAATGGAGATTCTCTTATGTCCTAGTAAGCAGAGGACCGAAAATGATAAAATAGGCAGGATCAGAAACAGTCAAATGAAAAAGAGTCCCATCCAATTACATCATGTAATGGCAGACAGCTAAAAAGTGACAGTTTTAAAGTGCTTGTATACCAATGCATGAAGTCTATATGTGTGAACTAGGCTATGTCTAAACTGCAGGCTTCTTCTGGAAGAAGCTTTTTTCGGAAGCGATGTTCCAAAAAATGTCTCCCGAAAGAGATTGTCCACACACAAAAGCCCATTGAAAAAGCAACCTGCTTTTTAAAAATATAGCATCCACACTGAATGGACACTATCTTGCATGTAAGCTGTGATGACTTTTTCCTCTTTCCTCTTCTTCCAAAAGAACTCCCTCTGCCCTGTCCACACATGCCTTTTTCTGAAAGAGCTCTTTTGCAAAAAGGCTTCTTCTTTGTAGAAAGAGGATTACCAATGCCAGAAAAAACCCTCTGTTCTTACAATTTACTTTCAGAAGAACGCAATTGCAGTGTGGACCTAACTCAGGTTTTGTCGGAAAAAACAGCCGTTTTTCCAACAAAACTCTGTAGTGTAGACATACCCCTAGAGAACCTCATATTAAGTGAGGCTATTGACATAACAGGTGTGACACAAATGACTAATTTTTGTATGATGGGTCTTGTACTTTAATTAGTGGAGAGCTCACCCCTTTCCCCGGCTTCTGGGGTGTCAACAGGTCCACTAGTGGCCCAGAAAGGTAGTAGAGAAGTGATGGGGTTTGCATCTAAGCCTCATCCCCTCTTAACTCCTGCAGGTTTCTTATCTTCTCCCCTGGGTAGGTTTACCCTCAGTCCTTGAGGCTGGGGGAGGGAGTCTCCCTTCATCCAATTCTCTGGACTTTCAAATCTCAGCAACACAGCTCCAAACTTCAGTACTCTCTCTTTTCACACTGTCTGCCTGAAACAGGATGGGTGTAATAGGTTCCTGACAGGGCCTTAATTGGCTACTGGTGCTTCAACTGGCTTGTGGTAGCCATCTCTAGTCTACAGGGAACCACACCTTAATTAGTCTAGGGCTTTTATGTCTCCCTTCTAGCACTCTCCCACTGTCCCCTGGCCCCACTGTATCACATAGGCATCACTAAAACATGGGTGAGTGACGATAATCAGTAATACTAGGGTACAAAATATATCGGAAGGATATAACAGGTCATGCTGGTGGGAGAGGGACACTATACATGAAAGACAACATGGAATCAATAAGATAAAATTTTCAATGAATAAATTTGTACTATAGAATCTCGATGGGTAGTAATTCTATCTCAAACAACAAATATAGGAGCAGGGAGATATTACTGATCACCTGAACAAGATGATCTGTGAAATGATCAGGAATGACAGAAGCTATTTAAATACAAAAAAAAAAAAAAAAAAAAAAGAGGGATTTTAATTATCCCCATATTGACTGAGTACAAGTGACCTCAGGATGGGATGCAGTGATAAAAGTTTCTTGACACCTTAAATGACTGCTTGGAGCAGCTGGTCCTGAAACCCACAAGAGGAGAGGCAATTCTTGATTTAGTCCTAAAGTGGAACACAGGATCTGGACCAAGAAGTGAATATAGCTGAACTGATTAACATAACATAACATAACACAGTCCCTACGGTGGGGAAAACACCACAGTGGCTCAACACAGTTTCATTTAATTTCAGAAAAGGGAAATATACAAAGGGTGCATCTAGACTACATTTCTCTTTTGAAAGAGGAATGCAAATGAGGGAAATAAAAAATGCAAATGAAACACTGATTTACAAATCTCACGCTTCATTTGTATAATTTCT